GTGCCCCCAGATAGACCTGTGCCCCCAGACACGCCCGTGCCCCCAGACACGCCTGTGCCAGTGCTCCCTACTGAGATGTGTGGACACATCTAAGGACCTCCTCACCCCCAAGTGCAGTGCCCGCCACGGCCCGGGCGGGCGCCCTACTGCGGAGGCCCTGACGGCAGCTGTGCCCCCAGGGACTACTTTGGCGAGAAGGCGGCGCTGTACTTCGCCTGGCTCGGCTGGTACACCTGCATGCTGGTGCCCGCCGCTCTCATGGGCCTCCTCATCTTCCTGAGCGGCTTCTCCCTGTTCAACACCAGCCAGATCAGGTGGGGCGCCGGCAGGACGCCAGCGGGGTGCCGGCGGGGGGTGGGGCGCGCGGGGGGGGGGACCAGGCGCCCAGCAGCGGGTCCCTGCCCCCAGCAAGGAGATCTGTGCGGCCTCCGACATCTACCTGTGTCCTCGCGGTGACCACAACCACAACTACCAGCGGCTCTCGGACACCTGCACCTTTGCCAAGGTCTGCAGCCCCGGGGTCCGCCGGCCCGGGCCGGCGGAGGGCCCGTCTGGCCGCCTAAAGGGGCAGCGGAGGCGGGGCACAGGGTTCCGCTTTCCCTAGGGTGGGTGGGAGCAGCTGGACACCCCCCGCCCTCCCCTCCCCCCGCCAATGCCACTGCCCTCCACACCAGCTCTGATCCCCCAAGTGGATCGTCAAGCAAGAGAAGCAAGACGTCAGCCCTCCCCTCCCCCCCACTTGCTCCCCTCCCAGACCCCGCCCGCCCACAGGGGCCTGCATCCCCCAGTGAGCCCTTTTCCCCAGCTCACCCACCTGTTCGACAACGAGGGCACCGTGCTGTTCGCCATCTTCATGGCTCTGTGGGGTGAGTGGCCAGCGTCGTGGCCTGGGCGGGGGCCGGCCCCCTCCGCGGCCGCCCCCGACGTCAGCCCGTCCCCCGCTGCCACGGTGTTCCTGGAGTTCTGGAAGCGGAAGCGAGCCCAGGTGGTCCTGCACTGGGACCTGTACGGGTGGGACGAGGACCAGGTGAGGAGCGC